TTACCTAAAGATCCGCACTGCGCTATCATATGCGGGCAAATGGGCTGCGGAAAAACAGCTTTTATTCTAGATATTTTAAAAAGTCATTATCGGGAAGTTTTCGATCATATTATTATTCTGTGCCCGACTATAAGCGTTAATAAAACCTACCTATTGAGAGATTGGGTAATGAATGACGACGGGGTACACAGAGTGGATCAGGGCGATCGTTTACAATACTGCCTCCGAGTATGTCACGAAAAATACAAAGGAGAATCAACCCTTTTCGGAATAGACGACTGCAGCGCGAGTAAAGAACTCACCAAAAAGAAAGATATGCTTTCGTATTAAGCATTTGCCGGTCGGCATACTCAGCATAGCGTTTGGGTACTTACACAAAAATACAACTCTGTCCTGAAAGATCTCAGAGAGCAGACCAAATGGGTAGCACTCTTTCATTGCAAAGATCGAGATTCATTCGAGGAATGTTTACGCAAAAATGACGTCATTTATACCAAGCTCGAACGAGATAAAGTCAGAAAAGTGTTATCGGCAACGAAGCACTGTAAACTCGTATTTAAAACCGATCAACCAGCTGCTTATGCAATTGCTTAGCAAAATGTAGCAAAATGTGGCAAAATGTAGCAAAAATGTAGCAAAATGTAGCAAATTGAACATTAGCGGTTAATATTACATAAAATGTGGTTCGAAATCCTCATTCTTTCGCAACAGTTCATTATTACAGGTTGTATTGGATATGTCATATTATATTATGTTAGACTTAAATATCTCCTTAGGTATTACATTATGGAATGCGATGAACTCATCGAACAAATGCTCAAAGAATCTGAGCCTGATTAAAAAACACATCAACATGCTGAAGTAGTTACAGATAAATCTTTAGATAAACATAGAGAAAGACTCGCCGCTTTGGTAGCCGGTGGAAAATGTTCCCAATATTTGGGGGAAAATTATACCATCGAAAAAATTGATAACATGACCGATGAAGAAATTAAAAAACTGTACGCGCTTTACGAGTCTAGACTGGGAGCTACCATGACTAAAACGATAGGGTTGTCTATATTACAACTATACACAGTCGTAGCTAGTACGTTTCTCCCCATCCCGGCAGAACATCGCATGTATTTATGCGAATCTCTAGAGAAAGACCCATTCATCGAACACGCTATAAGCTCAGTGAGCTGTGAGTTTTATCATAGATTCAGAATGTTCTTAGCTCCGTTCACCACAGCTTTAATAACGGCTAGGTATTGTCAATTTTAACATACATGCCCACTTAATAATAATGGAGACTCAACAGGTGACACCACAACAGATTGTTAACACACAACAACAAGTGAACGAGGAACAACAGATTGCGGAACAACGAGTGAATGAGGAACCACCACATGTGAATGAGGATGCACCACATGTGAATGAGAAAATACTAAAACCCAGAGTTACTAAGAACCCCCCAAAAATAGCTGCAGGAAGAAAGGGAGGGCTGGCGCGCAAAGCAAAATTAATAAATAATTCAAATATTAATCCGATAAAAACATGGGCACCTAGTAGGAGTTGCTGGTATAGTTTTAATTAATTTTGGCGAAATCGTGTGTGAAGCGATCAGAAGATCGCACAACTCAACTTGATTAACAGCAACCACAGTCAGATTACCGCTATTGATGCCTTTTAACGAACTTTAGTTGAGAGAGAATGGATACATATAACATAAATGCCATACTTTGACTCGTTAAAAGTCATATTTGTTACAGTTGGACGATTCTATTTCAACACGTTGTTCTCGCGATCACGTGCGCAGGAGCCTCGACGGTGACTGGTCAAACTGGTTCCACGTGAAAAATAATACCCGGCAATAGCGATCAGCTGCTTAGCTTGGGGTTATTATTATTTTAAATATATTCATTAAAGCTGCAACTAAAATAACAAGATATTGGATTATATTATTCCTTATAAATAAATAGTTTCAGATACAATTTTTACCGATCCTTGCATTAAAATCCTGTAAAGTCATATCATTGGGTGTGTCTTGACCGAATCACTGGTAGATGCAAAGAAAACGTGTGTACAGCTGATTGCTCTTTCCGGTTTAGTTTACGAGAAAATGCACAAGGTAATCTTAATCCCTGGATGTAAACAATGCCTAGCTGAACAAAGAATACAATTTAATCGGTAAATCAACATGTCTGGTGATTTTGTATCTCAAATTTCAAATGTGTACTGACCAAGTTTGTCATCACCCATTCGTTTACCGGAATTCGCTGAAGGAGTACGGTGTAATTTATTTCTGCGCATGATATTCAAATCTATTTTTTTTCCAAAATGTTGAATCAGCTAGAGGAGGGTGCGCATTATACTAGGGTGCGCACTATACTCAAGAAAATATGGTAAATGTCATGTCTGTAATCAGTGGCATACCGTCAACTTTGCTGCACACATTGAGAGAAGAAGCAAACAGAAAACCATCACTTTCACCAAGGCAGTGAATATCCCTTATAAGTTTGAAGAATGTAGATACAGTTTTATAGACAATCCGAATTACATGCTGTACTTGGTGTTGGTGAAGAAAAAAGAACATTGTAACACTTTTATAAAATGTATATGTGTTTGACATGATGATTGACAGCCACTCACCTTCTAACATTTTCATATATCAATATCAAGCATGGTAAAAAACATGAGGTAAATCAGTTCTTGAATGTATATAAATCAATATTTTTTCATGAATGTCAAAAAGGCATGAGTTAGATATTTTTCCATTTTAAAAAACAGTTTTTCATTTAACAATGAACAAAGTCCAAAGATCATGCCAAAGCCTCCAGCTCATCCTTTCAATTGGCTCAAGGAAGAAACTGAAAGTTAATGGGCCAATGACTAATGACAAGACAACAAACACAGACAATGACATGAACCACACAACATTTTTATAATGTGGACTTTATACGATAAACAGCTTTTCCATTAGACGCGTGGTTGGTCACATGACCATGAAACTGACATTCATAAGTGTATGAACAACACATTTTGACGTTTATATGTTTTTCCTGAGATTGTATTTCTTAAAACGATGTAAAGACGGACAGACAACTTCCACATTACTGAGGAACACAAGTGAATTGCCTGGCATGAATAAATACATAAGCATTGTTTCTGATCACTTAGACCCTTTACTCTTGAACTTAGCGTTTTAACACACACTGGGATAAGTCAGAGTTTAACTGCATGCCCGTTCAAGGATATCCTCGCTATGATCCATCCCAGTGAACAAAACGAAGAAATGCACATCCAAACCGTCGACTCGATCCACGTCTAAATTGACCAGTGACAGTCTACAGCAAACTATAAATTCAACTTAGTACGAGGGGTGTTCATTAAAGATTTCCCCTAAACCACTTAGGGTTATCATATTTGGTTGAAATTTCACATGTGTAATGATACATGTATCTATGGGTTATGTCTGAATTTGCAGCACCTAACTATTAATCTTACCACTTTTACAGGTGTTATGATCGAGTAGGGTGTGACAATGGAGCCAGTAGAATACCGAGGAGTGATTAGGTTTTTATATTTGAAAGGTCGCACACCAAAAGAAACTTCGATGAAATGAAAGCAACTTATGGGGAAGATGCCCCATCAAATGATGTTAAACACTGGCATCGCCAGTTCAAGTGTGGTCGGACATCTGTGGAAACAGCTGCCATTCCTGGTCGCCCCGGTTCAGCCATTGATGAGGACACTATCCATCAAGTGGAGACCGCCATTTTGGCAGACCGACGTATAACTGTTCGCCAGTTAGCACAAGATGTCAAGATCAGTGTAGGGTCTGTGGAAAAAATCATCCATGACAATTTGAACATGCATAAGGTGTCTGCACGATGGATTCCCAGGCTGCTCACACCTTTCCAAAAGCAGGAACGAGTCAATTGCTCAAAGGATCTTTTGGACATGTGCCAAAAAAAACAGGCAAACTTTTTTGACAGACTTATCACACAGGATGAAACATGGGTCCATCACTATGATCCTGAGACTAAAGTTCAGTCAATGCAATGGAAGCATGTGGAGTCACCACCCCCAAAGAAGGCACGTGTCCAACCCTCTGCAGGCAAGGTCATGCTCACAGTGTTTTGGGACCAGCACGGAGTAGTGATGATGGATTTCTTGGCAAAGGGTACCACAATTACAGGAGCTTATTATGCTTCACTGCTGCGGAAATTGCGGGACGCTATCAAGCTTAAGAGGCGTGGCATGCTGACACAACTCTCATGTTGCCCAGACAGAAGCGCGGTCCTGTGGCTATGAAATCCTTCCACATCCTCCTTACTCTCCTGACCTTGCACCATCTGACTTCCACCTCTTTCCAACCATGAAGTCATTTTTTAAGGGAAAACGTTTCACAGATGATGAAACACTGATTTCTGAAGTCAAGTCCTGGTTTGAGACGCAAAATGAGGGCTTTTACAAGCGAGGTCTCCATAGTTGCATAAAACGATGGGAGAAGTGTGTAACTCTTGGTGGTTCCTATGTGGAGAAAGACTAATACCTATGCCAAGTTTCATTCCACTAGGTCCATCGGAAGTGGGTCAGGGGAAATCTTTAATGAACACCCCTCGTATCTACTTGACACATCTTTTTAATCACCTTTGATGATCAGCCAATCAATCAAAGATGAAAACACTTGCAATCGGCATCATCTAATGATGATGTCACTTGGATCTATTTGTTGTAACCCAGCTACAAACGATGTTCCTATAGAGCAAGCTGAGCATACATACACTCATGTATAAACATCTCCTTTTGATGAACTATTTTTTAGGAGTTACAGTTGGTTGTTATATGGCTGTCAATTTAAACACGAAGTCACACATATTAAATGAAATTGTGTAATTCATCCCTCGAGGTATAAAATAGTGATATAAATAATTATAAGAATTAACATCAGACAGACTTTTGGTCCTAGTGTACTAAAGTTGAAGGGAAGATATGTAAGGATGTTTAACACCCACCTGCCAGGTCACGCCAGTCTCTTTCAAGAGGTGCCATCAGTTTCTTGGTGATCTCCCGGAATACACTTGGTGGAAGTGTCAAGATGTTCCGTGTAAGGCATGCAGTTGTCTCCCTTTGGTTGACACTTGCGCTGCCACTCTGTGTGAATGAAGAAGACAGTATAGGGCAAGGTGTGGGGTGTCACAGGGAAGACCTGTATAGGGCAAGGGGTGGGGTGCCAAAGAGAAGACCTGTATAGGGCAAGATGTGGGGTGTCACAGAGAAGACCTATATAGGGCAAGATGTGGGGTGTCACAGAGAAGACCTGCATAGGGCAAGGGGTGGGGTGTCACAGGGAAGACCTGTATAGAGCAAGGTGTGTGGTGTCACAGAGAAGACCTATATAGGGCAAGGTGTGGGGTGTCACAGAGAAGACCTGCATAGGGCAAGGGGTGGGGTGTCACAGATGGCCTGTATAGGGCAAGGGGTGCGGTGTCACAGATAAGACCTATATAGGGCAAGGTGTGGGGTGTCACAAGGAAGACCTGTATAGGGCAAGGGGTGGGGTGTCACAGAGAAGACCTATATAGGGCAAGGTGTGGGGTGTCACAGGGAAGACATATCAGGCAAGGTATGGGGTGTCACAGGGAAGACCTGTATAGGGCAAGGGGTGGGGTGTAACAGGGAAGACCTATATAGGGCAAGGTGTGGGGTGCCACAGGGAAGACCTGTATAGGGCAAAGGGTGGGGTGTCACAGGGAAGACCTGTATAGGGCAAGGGGTGGGGTCACAGGGAAGACCTGTATAGGGCAAGGTGTGGGGTGTCACAGGGAAGACCTGTATAGGGCAAGGGGTTGGGTGTCACAGGGAAGACCTGTATAAGGCAAGGTGTGGGGTGTCACAGGGAAGTCCTGTATACGGCAAGGTGTGGGTTGTCACAGGGAAGACCTATTTAGGGCAAGGGGTGGGGAGTCGTAGGGAAGACCTATATACGGCAAGGGGTGAAATGTCGTTGGGAAGACCTATATAGGGCAAGGTGTGGGGTGTCACAGGGAAGACGTATATAGGGCCAGATGTGGGGTGTCACGGGGAAGACCTGTATAGGGGAAGGTGTGAGGTGTCGGACAGAAGACCTGCATAGGGCAAGGGGTGGGGTGTCACAGAGAAGACCTATATTGGGCAAGGTGTGGGGTGTCACAAAGAAGACCTATATAGGGCAAGGTGTGGGGCGTCACAGGGAAGACCTATATAGGGCAAGGGGTGAGGTGTCACTGGGAAGACCTATTTAGGGCAAGGGGTGGGGTGTCACAGGGAAGACCTATATAGGGCAAGGGGTGGGGTGTCGTAGGGAAGACCTATATAGGGCAAGGGGTGGGGTGTCACAGGGAAGACTTATATAGGGCAAGGGATGGGGTGTCAGTGTTGGGTGTTGCTTGGAAGGGCTAGGTGTTGGGTGTTACTGGGAAGAGTTAGGTGTTGGGTGTTGCTTGGAAGGGCTAGGTCTAGGATGTTACAGTGAAGAGCTAGGTCTGGGGTGTTACTGGGAAGAGGTAGGAGCTAAAGTACTGTCGGAAATGCTAGAAAACTGCTTTTTGCCTATAAATTTTCACAGACTGTTGTTATTGAAATATCGAGTAACTACCGATGGTTTGAAGTATTTTAGTCACAAGGAGTCCTGTCGACAAGTTTACAGGAGACAAAATCGAACGAAAACAGGAAGTTCACATTTATTCTAAATCCAGTGATGACAGTCTGAAATGGACTATAGAAATATGCGTACGTGACTCCGTTAAAGTGATAGTATTGTAGTCTTCATAAAATATCTAATCCACACACAAAAATCATTTTGAGAAAATTCGAGATGTTCATCTTCTAATATGACAACATGAAGCTGCATCGTTTTTTTTGTCAACACTGCTCCCAGGATGCATGTAACATTACACTTGCATAGCCATAACCATGGTACACGATATGCAGTCTGTACTGGGAAATGTATACAAGTTCTTTACACTTAAAGATAGAGGGAAACCATTTATTAATTTAGATAGGGTGAATTACTAAACTGCCCAAGCTATGGGGTTTTCAGTTCATACTATCAAGTCTACAGTATGGTAAGAAAACAAAACAGGTATAGGGGTGGCCTCGAAAGCTAAACTGTGAAGTAAAAGGATATTAGACAGCTTTGATACAGGGTGATTAGGCGTATAGTGTACAAGCTTAATGAGCAGAAGGTGACACTCACTATAGTAGAATTTGGGAGGAATTAAAGATACAATTAATGTTTCCCGGACTGCACTAACTTTTGTTCTCCAAGAGATGGGATTTTGATACACTGCGTGTGGCGATGACTGAGCACCTTTCAGGGGAAAATATTCCATCCTGTCTATGAGGTCAAATTATCTCCGAACCATTCATAACTATCACAGTCAGGGTGTCCAGATAATTTACCTTTATGAATCATTCCACTGACTACATGTGTCTATCGGCAGATGGACAAAAAGCACCCCCAGACCACCAGGTAAAGGTAATCGTGTCATTGTTTTGCACACTGCAACCCATGATATGGGGCTTATTGATGGATGTGTGATAGTTTTTTAGGCTATAAAATAACTTTGTCAGGCTGAACATTGTCAATGTCATGTGTTTGTGACTTAAACATGTTTATTATCATTAAAAAACATAATTTCAAGTAGGCAGGAGGAACAATTATGATGTTATATAGGTCTTACAATAAATAACTAAATTTCTGTTTTAATTAATGTAAAGTACAGTGTACTTGTGTGAAATAATGTACAGCCATCTGAATGATTCATGGGGGATGGGGCAGGGCAGATTGGGTGATTGGAATAATCTTCTCTCCCCCCACCCCAAACCCACCCTGTGCTATATTTAATGTATATATTTGTGTTATATTTAGTGCACAATCTGTTATATTTATATTAAAAATTGTCAATTTATTTGATTGTGGCAATTTTCATTTTAGTAATGGTTTAATTTTCCCCCTTTTAATTGAAGTGGAAGTGTCGAAGGTAACAGCTTCACAATGCAGACTGTATTGTCATGAGTACTGTGAAGGTAGAGAACCTGACTGAAGCCAGTATTAGCTGGGGAGGAGAAACCCCTCCACTTGTTACTGCCCTTTTCATAGACTGTGATAAGAGTGACATTAATGTTGTTTCCACATCAGAATTATATTCACTGTAAAAATTCAAATCAGAATCACACATTAATGAAATAAGAGACCTGTCAAACAGTTGCTTCAGAACATGCAACTTGAAAAAGTCTCATTCGGCCACAATTGGGTGTACCCAATGTATACATCGAATGTATATCCTGAACATCACCAGCAGAATTTAATTGATACTTACAGAAAATTGAGAGATTGTGAATCTGTTACATCAACTTATTCTCAATGTTTGTCAGAAAATACACTGGACAAAATATCATCCATTCCAAAAAATCCAAAACTTGGAAATACCACCATTCCAATTGGAAATATGACCATTCCAATAATTGGAAAGGTAATATTTCCAAGCTTGGATTTGTTTAGATTTGTTTGGAAATGTTTGGATACAACATGTCATAATCATATCTGTTAAAAGTTGTACAACTTTTGACCTTATGTGAGATTAGTAATGACATGAAAGTAAATAATTAAGAGTATTTTGGCACTATGTACCACGAAAAGACCAAATCATGAGCAAATTTAACTAAAAGAAATTCTGTCATTTAAAGTGGCTACTCTTTATATTTAATTTCTTATCTTCCTTGTCTATAATCATATGACATTGACTTTGAACTTTGAACAATTAAACAAATATATTGTTTTCCCATACCGACTTACGGTTGTCGTAGAACAAAGACCGTTTCGAGAATATAGAGGGCCTCATTATTATAATTTGAACTAATATACATATGTACATAATAGTACTAGGTATAAATGAATTTTGATAAGTGTTCGTACAAGAATATGAACTTCGAATTATCTCGGAATTATGCGCAACACATAGGGCTGAAAATTTTATAATTGTTCTGGAACTATCTGACGGTAATTCAAAACAGGGAACAAGATTTCGTCAAATGAATCATTGAGCCAGGAATGCAACGATTTAAATGCTGACAAAATGAATAAACATATCTGGAACAGAGTAGACTGTTCATGTGGACAATTATATGCTACGTCTATTGCCAATGAAGTTTATCACCCCATGTTATAACATTTGTTTCATATAAAAGATAGAAACCAAATAAATGGGACAATTAGTTGTTATGAATTAGCTTTACCTCTGTTACATATCACACAACTAAATGTGAATATGTTTATCAAATAATCAATTACAGTAATTAACCTAGTGTCCTTATTTATACACAATTTAATTACGTATTGGGGTACAATATATAATACACATATACACGGAATGATTTCTTATTTTGTCAATTTAATCATAACCCAAATCATACAAATCAAAGTGTGAAAGTAGTGACTAACTTTATGATCAAGGGTATAAATACTCAATTGTATCTATTAATCCTAATAGTATAACAATAAACCCTGTGTATATACTGAGCATATTTAGATACATCCGGATCTACGACCGCAGCCATATAATCAATCAAGGAAAGTATATTGGATTGAATTACAAATGTGCTATCACTTAAACAAAATTTTCCGTTATCCACGTAAGCCTAAACCTGGGAGAAATAAAGTTCTGTTCTGTTCTGAAGACGCCGTCATGATTAGTTTGCGCCAGTCTAGACTGTCCAATCAACGTGAATATACAAACCGTGATGTTACTTGACCAGTTGATGACACCTGTCAAACTCAAAGTGCCCCTGGTCCTCCACCCACCATGTGTAATACTTTAGCGTACTTGATTGTTTAATTTGCAGTTATATCACTGTTAGGCTGAGTGATGAGAGAATACATTTTGTTGTTTTTGTTAACGATCGTTTCCATTTTCAACGTGGTAACCTTATAAGTGACTAACTTTTTTATCATGATGAAATGAAACATATTAAAAAAAATCAGAGGGACTGACGATCGCATTTTTCGCATAAATTTCATGATTTACTGAAGATAGATTTGAACATTTCTGAGCAACGATCATGTTTGGGTAAGGGAAGTAATCTTGTCTCCGCTTGCAATTGGATTCAGTTCC